CTGAATCCCTCTGAATTCAACAGGGTCCCATCTGCCATGCAGATCCCTCACTTTACAGGACGCAACATACAACTGGATAAAAATTTATATGAAAGTTGATAGGCCTCAATTTGTTTGGCTTTGTTTGCAAAGTCATTACAATAGTGAGGCCAAGATTATAGTCATAATTGAGATTCAAGAGGAATTATTTTTTTTTTCCAAGGGTAATTGCTCAGCAGTTCATGAAAATTTAGCCCTATAAGAAACCTCAGGTTATGTTCTTCAACAGAGATAAACAAGACTCTTTTTACAAATTTATCCTTAGAGCAGTTTTTTCTTTCCCTATAACCAAATCCCCACCCTAAATCTTCTAGGTTAAAGCTTAACGAACATTAACCTAGCACAGATACATGTGTATATACAGTCTCATTACTGCACATGTAAGGAGGTGACCTTAGCTAGGAAACAGTTCACAGCAAACTTAGATTATGTGAAAAGCAACAGTAAGTACAGAAAAAAATAAGAACAAAAAACCAAAACAACCACTAAAAACCAGTCCACCCCAAAACCAACAACCTTGACAGTTTATTTCAGAATGGCCTAAGTAAATCACAGAGATTATGATAAAAAGACATTTTTAAAGATTCTTCATCTTAATTGTTTATCAACTGTTTTTCCTAGAGGCCAAATTTTTAAAAATTCCTTAATTAAAAAAATATATTTATTTGTTTGTAATCATTTATACATATTTTCAGCAAATGTATTTTAAATAATGTTAATACTAGCATGCTAATAATAAAAATAACATTTTTGTATGTCTGATTCTAAATTAAAAAGTAGTACCTTATTAAAAATTAATAGTCATTAGAAAGCTAAATTAACATTGTGTTAACTGTCACAGCATATATATACTTCCAAAATACAAATGAAAACACAAATGACATACAACCTTCTACTGCAAAAAGTTAAGCCATTCAAGCACTTACAAAATATGGAAATAAAAAGGCAAGGGTAGAAATAAAAAAGCTCTTATTTTGCAAATTATATGTAAAATCCAGTCAAGTAATAGACTACATGGTGAAACTGAAAAACTCAAAAAGCAAAAAACTGCTCTCTATGACCCAACAAATCTTCAGCAACACTTTCTCAATACTATGTGGGTGAGGGGAATAAAAATAAAAAAAAAAAACAACAAACCACAACCCAACAGAGAAGGACATCCTAAAGTGAGCTTCTCACTTCATTCCTAGGCCTGCTAACAATCATAAACTTTGGTAAAGCTATTAAAAATGGTAATTTCTTTTCTTAGTCTGAATCTTAAAGCAATCATATGTCACCACCAAAAAAAAGAAAAATACAGTAATTACAGATATCTAACTAAGGTTTTCCAGACATCATTGTAACTCAATAACTGCTCCACTGTGCTATGAACTCTACAGCTTCAAGCTGGAAGTCAATCTAGGACAACCAATAGAAAGTGCACCTGTACAATTACTGCATTTCCTAATTCAGAAGGCCAACCTAGAGACACATAAAGCTTGTGTGTATTCAGATTATCAAAACATAAGTCCAAAAGCCCATACATCTTTTGTACATAACACATATCTATATTATCACTAATTGCAATGAAAAATATAATTTATACAATTCAGAAACAGAAAATTATATTCCTTAACCAACATACATAAAACTTTATTCTAAATGAAATAGAATTGTCTACATACAGCATCTAAAAACACTACATATGCAGTAATTTTTAAATCTTTCACACACAGAATAGTCACCAAAAGTTTTTTTTTTTTAAATATCATCTGAATAGTACCACACACAGTAATTTAACATATTCAATATGAACTCCATGCTACATTAAAAAATAATCTGCATCACAAGAAACAACCTGTATCATTTTAAGGAATGTAATCTTATTTTTTAAAACTGCATAAATCTACTATTTTTCAAATAATAAAAAAATTACTTAGCTCTTTGTACTCTAAAATAAAAAATAATGTATGCTGCTAGTAGTTGATAACAAGATAATTTATCCAAAGCAGTCTACCTTCCTGCAGATGCATTTTCATTCAATGTCTGACCCCACTGAGCAGTAAACAAGTTTACATATATCAACACATTTCAGTGCTCCAAAAATCAAGCTAAGTTTCTGTAACTACAATAACATGATCTCTTAGTAACAGTTCTTTAGTAGTGTCATTCTAAAACAATCAATAAAAATGGCTCTGACATATATTGTTTATATACTTGGGATCCCTTCAAAGTTTAAGGCTTGCAGATGTAAAATACAAATAAAATAACTACAAACCAGAATTACCTTTAACTGATTACTGCCCCAAACCAGTAAGGAATTACAAATTCTTTCTGCTTTATTTTATAGCATTTTAAAAGAGTAGGGATATTTTTATTGTTGCACACACTGAAAACCAAATATAATCCCACACTCAAAAATACTATTGCAACAGCTTGATAGCACTCACCGCAAGTAATACTGTTTTAAAGCGAAGGCAGCGTTAGAACAACTTCTGGGAAAGTTAAACTCCTCTACAATTTCTCCCCACTGATTCTTCTCTGATACCTGTCAAAAACAACACACAGGCCGAGATACACAACGTACACATAAACACGCCGTTGACAGCGAACATCACAAAAAAACACAAGCTGCCATGAAGCAAATAGATAGATATATAAAAAGAAATAAACAGGAATGTATATGGGATTTAGGACTATGTATTTTACTGACAGTCGGTAGTATTTCCCCTACGGGAATAATCCCGCTTCTCACCGGTATTTTACTTTATTTATTTTTTAACATATACCTTATCTTTTTTTCGGGGGGGACGGCCGGGGGGGTTTGTATTGTTTTGGGGTTTGTTTTTGTTTTTACTGCCTGGACAATAACCAATCGGGAGTCCCTCTGTCGCCCCCTTTTAAATCCTAACGCGGTCCGTTAAAAACCCAAAGAAGTTTAAAATAATGCAGGGAAGTCGTGGCGGGGGCGCCCCCTGGCCTCCGGGGCGCGGGGGCGCCGTCCCGGGGGGTCCCCCCAAGACAGATCCACAGACACAGAGAGGCCTTTCTTTTGAGGCCTACATTTCTGTCCCTAGCCTTGAAGCCTAAAGATGGCTATTTGATTACACACCGTCTTGGGTGCCCCTTTTGTTATTTTTCTCCGGGAAGGGCTCGGAGGGCAGCGCCCGGCCCCCCCCCGGCTGCGAGGATCGTTTCCTAGCCCATGCTCCGTGCCGATTATCGATGTTAAACATGCCCGCTAATTTTGAGTTGCACTAAAACTGCACTCAGACTCTCTCCTCTCTGTCTCTCCCTCTGTGAGAAAGAGACACACACAGAGCTGCCACCACAACCGAAAGAAACTGCCTCTCGCCCACCGGAGCTCTCTGCTCCCTCCTCGCCTTCGCCTGGGGAAGGGGGGCAGGGGCGAGGGGCTCCGGCGGAGGCGGGGGAAGCACCAGCGGGGTGTGCGCCGTACCCCCGGATCCCCCTTCATCGCTCCACCGACAAGGCCAAGCCACCAACCTGCCTATCTGCTCGCTTCCTTCTTCCACCCCCCACCTTCTCTAACCGGCTTTAAATAGGACGGTTCCCGGCCACCCCAGCTCCCCCCGCCGCCCCCGGGGGTCAGAGGAGACTTTTGGGAAGAGGTTAGTGGGAGGGAAACCCAAATTAAAACTTCCACTCACCTTCCCAAATCCGCCTAAAGTGGTGACTCTGGTGTAGAGAGCGTGAAGATCCAGCTCCTTCCCACCCACCACGGGGATCTTCTTAAAAGGAGACCTACCAAAGGAGATACACACAAAACACCACAACTTGTCAGCTCTGCCCCCTTTTCTCCCCTCGCTGGGGCTGCCGTGTCCTTCAGGGAAGGGGCTGGAAGTTGGATCTGGTCGGTTTAAAAGCCTCCCCCCCTCCCGTTCCATCTCCCCATTTTCCTCACCCTCTGCTGTGGTGAAACTGCCGCAGCTCGTCCAGGAAAGCGAGTCCCTTTCTCCGCTGGTCTGCGTGGTTTTTACCCGTCGAATTTGCCATTTTTGTATTAAAAAAGGTTCTCGTAAAAAAAAAAAATCCAATCCAAAAAAAAAAAAAAAAAAACGGCCGACAACAACAACAACAATCCCCGGCTCCTCCTTGTCTTTAAGAGACCCAGGTGCCCGTGCTCGGCCGGGGATCAGCCATGGAGAGGGGCTTGTTTAAAAAAAAGTTTAAAAGGAATAAGGGAGCCCCAGAGAGTGTGGTAATTGCGAGTCCTGTCTCCACACAACACACAGGCAAAGAGACAGGGAGGGAGAGGGGCACCTCTCAGTAATTCCTCCTCCCGCTGCTGCTGCCTCTCTCAGCACCACAAACCCAACCGATCCAGCCTGCACATGAGACTCAACATGGTGCTGCTGGATCACACAATGAATTGGGTTACTGTTGTGGTGGGGTGGGGGGGGAGCCGGAGTGAGGTATTGACAGTGTGTGTGTGTTACAGCCGCGGCTCCATGCGATCTCCCTCTCCCTCGCTCGCTCGCTCCCTCGCTCGCTCTCTCACACACACACACTGTACAGCTACGGCAGCGGCGGCGGCGGCGGTGGCGGCGGCAGCGGGATTCACTTCTCTTCTCTCTCAGACAAAAAGATCTGAGGCCGCCGTGCTTCTGCCTGGACGAGAGCGCAACACAGCGGACCCCGGAGGCCGGTCCCGGTACTGCAGAAGGCAGCTCTAAAGGCAAAAGCCAGCACAGCCCCAGCAAGCAGTTCCTGGCGGGGAACAATAGGCTCCTCTCGCCGCTAAGGGCTCATCTGCAATGTGCCGCAAACTTCACACAAAGCCGGGCGGAAAGAGGCGAGGGAGAAGGAGAAGAGGGGAGGAAAAAAACGGCTACTACCGGTTGTTCCGGGGCTAGGGGCCGGGGAAAGGGCCCTCCCTTGCCAGGCTCGCACCGATCGGCCTCT